CCCACCCAACCTAACCCCAAAACCTCCTTTAAAAAATCAAAATCTCACTAACTCTAAGACCATTCGAAACCCCACCAAACCAGATCCTAGGAAACGAGGTGGGGAGGTCTGCACGTGGACGAAACCAGGGGCATGGGAAATCGGTGCGTGTGAAATCGTGGATGCGGCCGGAAAAGGGATGGGGGACGGGGAGGGGGCTAGGATTGGGACGGGAAAGGGGTTTTCAAGGGTGGAGATAGTTTTACAGCTCGCCGGGGCTTTGCAAAACACTGCCTTGGTTCTCGTGAGGGAGGGGGTTGGTGGTTCAAGGGACGGGGAGGGGGGTTCGACACTGCCTTTAGCGTTGTCGCCGGTGCCGTGGTTGGTGGCTGGGTAGCAGGTGTTTGGGGTAAAAATACCCCTGACAAATGGACCTATTCTAATGCAACACGTGTCCCTAAGTTGAGCACTCAATGAGCCAATTAGAGCATGACACGTGTCATTCAAAGGGGAAAACGGGCTTTAAGCCCATAACCCTAGAAACCGTAAAACAGTGGAAGCCCATCAAATTAGGTTAAATAACCTAAGATGCACCTGTCCCAAAGACTCTATAAATACTTATCATTTACATCAGTTGAGGGGGGATCCAATTGCATATACATTCAATCCTGACAAATCAGAGAGCAAAAAAGCTCAGATATTGAGGCTGTCTCAAACAGCCGGATGATCACTCCTCTCCTACGAGGAGCCTGATCCCATTTACTTTCCACACTTTACTCCTCAGACACGTTCTAACTTGATCGTCGGAGGCGGAACTCCCATCCCCAGGAGTCTCCGTTGTTTTGCAGGTACAGGCAGCCAGAGGTTAGTCTTGGTGTTGTAACTCTCTCGCAGGACATCCAAAAAACCCTGAAACATTTGGGGCCGTCTATGGGGAGAGTACCACTAAGATGGCTTCACAACAGTCTGTACCATCGGCTAATAGGAGGCAGCCTACGGTCGAGGTCAAGAACCTAGCGCCTCTTCCCCATTCTAAATGTTTGAGTCGACTTCAACGTCGACCTTCCCAGACAGCCTCCAGAATACCTCAATGAGTTATTCACAGTCAAACCGAGGGGGTCAGTCAGGCGGCTTGTCCGTTCATTCTGGCCCTCAGATACTCCATGTGGCACAGTATGCGCCTCAGCAACCATACATGTCGTATGGACAAACATGCGTGAAGCCGACCCTCTTCAAGAGGCAGGCGGCACAAAGCGTCCAAACTCTGGACAGGCAGCTCCGTCTGCAAAAACTTGTTGAACAACCTTCTGTATTCTCTAAGGAAATAACCCTCTAGTGCGAAAGCATTAAACGACCAAGTAATACAGGCGTCATCAGGCCAACTGTCAAGCACAACAGGCACCATAAGGCCAAATATTGAGTGCTACAGGCATCATGAGGTTAAAATGTCTTATGCTTGGACAGGCGGGATTATGCCACCAAGTGGCCTCTTAATCAACCAACATACCCAAGCATGTTGGCATACAAGCAGCAGTTAAGCCAACCAATGAAAGTTCAAACTCTGGACAGGCAGCTCCGTCCAGCTGTAGCCGACATTATCATGCATGAGCCTCACGGTGTGCGATGTTGTTAGCAATAGGCCCAGCCAGCATTATCCCTGCCATCGAGCAGCCGACCAACTTATATAATTAGGCGGCTATATGTAGGAGTGGCGCATGGGTTGCAATAAGGAACCCGACCGCAAGTACATGTTTTAATGCCATGGCCAGTCAATGACCAAGCATCCGACATCTTGTAACAAGTCATCCATTCATGGTGCTGAGTCGGCTGTATGCAATGATATTTGACCGCCAACAGCAGCTAACACACAAGCGACATAACAAGGTTGCTTGTGTGCTAGTCTCTTTTTGGATAAAGGCAGCAGCCGTATGGTAATAGCAGCCGGCACTCAGCCGGCATTATCATGCATGAACGACACAATTCTTGTGTTGTTGTTTTCAATCACACAGCCGACATTACGCCAGCCACCAAGCATCCGGCCAGGCGGCCAAATGAGAATCCAACTTCATGCCCGGCTGTCCAGAAGGGTGGTACATGGTTTGCATAATAAATTCGGCCGTGTGAGTGCTTGTTTTAAACGCTATCAGCTTGCATGCAAGTGTCATACAAGCGACATCATATGCTAGGCATAATGTGGTATATCATAAAGAGCAGCCGGTCAAGCACCTTGGTTGAGCCAATGGGGTCAGCTGACACCTAGCTCCAGTTGGCACTTACAATGTAGCCGGCTGTGTTGTGATACGTCAAACAAAGCCAACCTTTGAACATCTGGCTATATTTATGCCAGCTAATGTCGATCAAGTGAGTTTGTTCATATGTTTGAAGGGTCGCATAAGGCTATTACACTATCTAGGCACAAACGGCATTATCATGCGCGAGAAAGGCGGCTCTTATTGATTTCGTCATCACTGGGGTCAGCAGGCATCAAGTGGCCGGAAGACCATAAGGATATAATTTCTGCCGGTTGTAGGTGCAGCAGCTGCTACTGCTCTTTGCGGTTGTCGCTAGGTTAAGCCGACATTCAGAGGTTGGATGGCCATGAAGATAACGCTGAAGCCTACAATGTCCAAGCAACCGGCAAGCTATTAACCAAGCAACCAGCCAGGGAACATCTGGCTATGCCCAGTCTCTGACCAGGCGGCAGCCGGTTATCTTCAGCTAGGCGCATATTCTTGCACCGTTGAAGACGGCTGTGGTTGCATACTTTGCAGCGACACGTCAATTCTAACCATGCTTCCGGCAAGAATAATAGCGGCTGTGTATGTGGGTTAAGCAATGAGCAGCCGGCATGATTGTCCTTCAGTTAGACGCTTCTTACGTTGTGGTTATCAAGAGGAACAACTGGCGTCTAGAAGGGTAGCCTCAAGAGGTGGTTGTATGAATGTGACAGCGGCCATGAATAGTCCGGTTGGGGAGCGCCTGTGTTACAACCTTGACGCCGGCTGTGGGTCTTTAAGTTGTGAAGCATCTAGCCATTTAATAACCAATCATCCGGTCAGCTAAAATCAAGCAGCCGGCTGTGGGTACATTCTTGCTAAGCCAGTTGTGGTGCAACGTTATCAATCAGTCTCTTGTGAGTTTAAAACACAAGCGGCATCCCTCTTGATTGAGTAAAAATTAGCGTGCATAAAATACGCCATTCAAACCAGCTGTGAATACGTTCCAGCACCTGTGTATTACATCATGTATGTGGGTGGCCACTACGAGTGTTCATCATTATTATGATTAAAAAAAAGAAAAATATTATTATTATGGGTATATATAAATTATATACATACCATGAGCCTATGTATGGCACTTAAAAAGTCACTTGCACGTGACCATTTAATTTGAGTGGGAAGTATCTCAAACAGCAGGAAACTCAGTCACTTGAGCCAAAGAGGCGGCACTTCAATCCCATTCAAGCAGTAACTATTAGCAGGAGGCATCCCAATAGAGAGCCGTCTGTATAATCCGAGAGAAAATTCATTTCTCGAGCTCATCAGTTACTCGGCGTCTCTTGGCCGCCTGTCTCCATTTGAAGAAATCGGTATCATGAATCAAGCAGGAGGCATCTCAATGTCATCCAGCACATTGACGGAGATTCTCCATATTGAAAGGTACCATAAGCACTATGTGCTTCCTTATTGTTATTGATTGAATTTCAATAGTATACTTGTTTAAGTCTCCCTCATGGGCAGCATACCGACCGAAAAAGGTCTAAAAAAGTATGTTGAAATGGCTTAAGTAGAAGCACTGCCTGTGCAATGTGCAGGCGGCAAAATCTAAATCAACCATCTGCTCCAGCATGAGTAGATATAAGCTAAGTTTAAAAACTTAGCGGCTATGTGTTGTTCCTTTTAAAACAACAAATTGAGGCCAATGGCCGGATGATCAAATTGAGGCCAATGGCCGGAATGATCAAATTGAGGCCAATGGCCAGATGATCTTAATAAATTAAACAATCCGTCTGCTCTAACATAAGGAGGCGTCCGGCGACGCCCATTTAGGTGAATTCGTCGCAGAGAGCATCTCCAATTTAGGTGGCATATTGCTCTATAAACTTAAAACAAATGGCCCTACCGACTGTCAAAAAGGCAAGCTCACATCCATTAGAAATTGATCAAATGAGACTAAGATAACAAAACTGACGGCTGTTAAATACCAGCGGTACCCAGTTACTATCGTGGTCAGATGCCGCCTGCTGTTGCTCAAAAGCAATACCGTCGGCTAAATTTGAGGATATAGGCTATGTCAAAAACTTAGTGGCTAAGTTTTGTTCCTTTTAGAACAACTCTATGAGGCCAATAGCCGGATTATATTTAAAACCGTCCGCTCCAAACATGAGCAGACATAAGCTAAGTCCAAAAACTTAACAACTAAGTGTTGTTCCCATTAAGAACAACCTAAAGAGGCCAATGGCCGGATAATATTTAGCGCTTACCCCCTACTCGATGGTCGATAGTCCGCCTGATCTGGGGCTATCAACATAGTGGGGCTAAAAGCAATAAGAGCCGACATCTGTCTAGTTCAGCAGCAATCATTATTATGATTGATTAGCTTTGAAAATATCATACCGTTCAAGGTATCAAAATTTTCCAAGTTAATCAAGTCCCTCTTTCATTGAACTAGACAAATGCCGACCAAAGCGGCTTAAAGGGTCTCATATTCTAAAGGAACAATCCCTCTTAAAAGAGAGATTACTCTTTCCGAGGGGCTAATGTTTGGGATAAAAATACCCCTGACAAATGAACCTATGCTAATGCAACACGTGTCCCTAAGCTTAGCGCTCAATGAGCCCATTAAAGCATGACACGTGTCATTCAATGGGGAAAACGAGCTTTAAGCTCATAACCCTAGAAACCGTAAAACGGTGGAAGCCCATCAAATTAGGTTAAATAACCTAAGAGGCACCTGTCCCAAAGACTCTATAAATACTTATCATTTACATCATTTGAGGGGGGATCCAATTGAATATACGTTCAATCCTGACAAATCAGAGAGCAAAAAAGCTCAGATATTGAGGCTGTCTCAGACAGCCGGATGATCAGTCCTCTCCTAAGAGGAGCCTTGTCCCATTTACTTTCCGCACTTTACTCCTTAGACACGTTCTAACTTGATCGTTAGAGGCGGAACTCCCACCCCCGGGAGTCCCCGTTGTTTTGCAGGTACAGGTAGCCGGAGGTCAGTCTTGGTGTTTTAACTCTCTTGCAGGATATCCAAAAAACCCCGAAACAGCAGGGACGACAACTGGTGGGTGGTTTCTTAATTTTCATTTTTTCATTTTTATTTTTTCTTTAAAAAAATTTAACCTTTTAGAAATTTTTATTTATTTATTTTCTTACCAATTACAAGCCGCCACGTGTTTGGTAACTTGTTATAACAAGTTACATGACCGGTTGAGACCATTTTGAGCGGATTGGGTATAAAGGTCGTATTATTTAAAAATAACCCAAAGGTGAGATTATTTTTAGCGGACGCCCCAAAGGTGGGATTATTTTGGACAATTTTTTCTTATAGCAATGGCCATATACAAGAACTAAGAAATTAAACCACTTAAGCTCAACTAATTAACACCCAATAATTAACCAATTATTACATGCAACAAGAAATTAGTGACTACATTGAGGGTTTTACCCAAACCCTAGAAATTAGACTACTCGCAATCCATGGAGATTAAAACAATTAAAGATTTCAAGCAATTCATGAACAAGTTCAAACTAAGGATTAAGCTAATTAACAATCTAAGCATGCAAGCATTAAGTAAGTAATTAGCAACAAAGTAGAGAGAAATGGAAGAGAAGAGTAAGAAATAGTTACTATGAAGCTTCAAAGTGAGCAACAATGGTGGAACTTGTCTTCTACAATGATTGAAGTTGAATATTTCCAAGCTAATAATTAGAATCTAACTAATGATTTGAGAATTAAATGTTCTAGGATTGCAAAACTAAGAGAAAGCTCTAAAACCTTGATGATATGTACAAGTGATCTCAAAGGGGGTATCTATAAGACCCCCAAGTAAAAAGGACAGAGAAAACAAGAATCGGGCTCGACTGCAGGTCAGCACGGACGTGCTAGGCCTGGCACGGACGTGCAGCCTAAGCTGCACGGATGTGCTGTCCTATGCATGGCTGTGCAAGGCATGGCAGTAGCCACTGTTTAGGCTGGAAATCATGCATGGAGCACGAGCGTGCCAATTGTGACACGAACGTTCAACCTCTTCTGCACGTACGTGCCAACTTAAGCACGGCCGTGCAGGCCTTGACAAAGGTTCTTACTTGCTGGAGCACTCCTGCACGGACGTGAAAATGTCTGCACGGACATGCTCGGCATCTTGCACGGACGTGCCTAAATTTGCACGGACGTGCAGGGCAAGGCATAAACTCTTATGTTGTTGGTGCACTCCTGCACGGGCGTGCAAGGCTTGGCATGACCGTGTAGGCTCTTCTAAGTCCTTTTCTTCATCTTTTCTTCGATATTGCTCCTTTCCTTGGCTTCTTTCTACCATCTTCTTACTTCTAACCTCGGTTTAGTATCTATGGGCTTTATTTGGTCGTCTTTAGACCTAGAATCTCAACAAAAACACTAACAACCCATGAAGCATAGGATACACAAAAATTGCATAATAGAGTTAAAGTGAACCAAAAACACAAATTTATCAAGCAAACTAGGTTAAAAAACACCCTAAAATCATATCAAATAGCAAGTTATCAATAATCCCAACTTTTGATTATTTTTTAATAATCCCAACTTTATACCTCATTGATTTTAAACGGTCCCAAGTCACTTGAAACGGTTAAATAGGTTAACATTTGTGACTCGAGATTATTTGCACCGTATCACCACGTGATTGGTCAAAAATTTAAAAACTAAATAAAAAAAGAAAAAATAATCTAAAATTAAAAAAAAGGTAAAATTAAAAATAAAAAAAAATAAAAAAAAAAAACTACCACCACCTTAACCACACAACCTCAACGACCACCATATCCACCCCCACCCAATCCAAACCCTTGAACCACCACCACACCTTACTAGACCCGAAAACACAGCTCTAACCCACCTAGACCCCGAAACCATCATCCCGACTCCAAAACCACCACACCAAAACTCGAAACAACCAATCTACCCAGATCTGAAATGGGACGGGTGAAGGGGAGGGGGGTCGAAAACGGATCGAGGGGAAAGGAACGGGGCCGAAAACGGGGCGTGGGTAGGGAGGTGGCCAAAAACGGATATCAAGAGTGCCGGCGGTAGCAGCCTCAGGCGGTGGCAAGGGTTGTCGCTGGGTTTGGGCTTTTATTTTATTTTATTTTTTAAAGGTTTTTTTTCATTTAATATTTAAATAAAAAATGATCTATCATGTGCCAACACGTGTTAGGTAACTTGTTTAACAACTTACATGATCGGTTGAGACAATTTAAAGAAAACTCATATTAAAGTTTGGATTATTAAAAAATAATCGAAAGTTGGGATTATTTTGGGCAAATGAGACAAAGTTCAGATTATTCTTGGCAATTTTCCCTTTTCAGAAAACATGACTACTCTATTTTCGTTTGTAATGCATAATAAATTATTATAACTACGTTTTTTTTTATTTATAGGCTATGTTCTTTTATTTATATGTAATATTCTTTTATTTATAGGTAATGTTCTTTTATTTATAAGTTATGTTCTTTTATTTATAGATAATGTTATTTCACGGGGCTCCTATAATTTCTCTCTCCTCACCTTATTAGTCCACGTCACTTTTCACTAACTTTATCTCATACCCTTCGCTTTTTATAGTTCCATACCTACATTCATTAACCTCCCCATTTACTTTCTCTCTCCTATTTTTAAAATATAAAAATAAAAAAGTTGAATGTGTTAGAGCAAGATTAGCCCTGTCTAGTCTTAAGATTTTAATCCATTGTCACATCAGATTTTATATTAAATTTAATTATATTTTTTTAATTTTTAATTATGTTAAGACTCCTTAAGACTCAATTAGATTTATCTCTTCATTCCTTAGACTTATTTTAGATTTCTTTAAAATATTTATTAATATTTTTTTTCCTTTTAACATATATATTTCAATATTTTTTTTTTTGAAATATGTACAAATGTATTGAAATATGTACAAATTGGAAGCTTGAAGTTAGGCTACAAATTAAATTAGCTAACTTTTTTTTTGACAATAGCAAAGGAACAAACAAAATCAAACTATAGCAGATTAGAACAATTCATCAGACAAAATCTAGCAATACCATTAGCCTTTTGTACTTGGTCTCTCTGGACTTTTAAAATCGTGCATCGTTGGAACATCCCCCCCCCCACTTTCCTGATTTCCTTTAGTAGCCATGCAATTGAAATTTCCTTGCTCGGTTGTACCTGTAAGTTGTTCACAAGCCCAATAGAGTCAGATAGAAGTAGGATTCCTTGTCTCCCTTTCTCTCTAGCCCACTTCATAGCTTCAAGAAAAGCCCAGGCCTCCCATTGAATAACTGACGCTGCTGCCCCATGTTTTCCTCTTTTGTCAAGAGCAAAATCATGACGATTAGGCTTAACTACCCACCCTATCCCTTCTCTTGTTGTCTTCTTATCCCATGAACCATCTATTTCCAGTATGAAGTCATCAAAACCTTTGTCTTCCTGTCCCAGTTGCACATAATTAAAACTCGGGGGGAGAGTCGGGTGATTTGTTTCACTGGAAACCCCCCCAATTGCAACCGTTGTTTGGTGTGTAAAGGTTTCATGGTCGTCCATAGCTCGATGAATAGATTCATTCACTAGACTTATGGTCCCATTAGAGTTATTGAAGCATATAGCGTTCCTAGTCTTCCATAAACCCCATAAAGTTTCCACGAACAACCATCCTCGCTATTAAACAGCAGGATAAAGTGATGGACCAAACTTTTCAATGAGTTGAATCCAGGAGAATCAGGGCAAATAGTTAGGGAGCTGCTTTCCCAAACTTCCTTTGCCAGAATACAGAACCTGAAAATATGTTGACTATCTTCTCAGCGTACCTTACAATGATCACAGACTTTATTTACTCGTATTCCCCTCTTTGTCAAGTTAACCTTGGCTGCAATACCGTCATGAAACAGTTTCCAGAGGAAAACCTTCCATTTAGGCTGGATGCCCAGCCTCCAAATCACCTTTACAAACTCTTGATGCCTTGCTCCAAACTTTGAACTATCTAGACCCTCATCCTTTGATAAGTAATAGTATCCAGTTTTGACGGTATATCTACCCGATGGATGATATTTCCAGTAGATAAAATCGTCCTCCTCGGTTGACTGAGGAAGTTCCATTGACAGGATCGACTTTGCACTCTCCAAGTCAAAGCATTCCCTTACCTTTCTAGCATTCCAAGTTCTTTCCTCTCTGTTAATGAAGTCCTTCACTTTCCAATTCACAGCAGCTCCCAGAGTTTGTCCTGATTTAACTGTTGGAATGGAACCATTCACCCAAGGCATACTGATGGCCTTTATATTATTTCCATTTCCCACTTTCCAGGCAAAACCATTCTTCAAAGATTGTGATGCATGTCTCAGGCTTGACCTTGCCATAGATGGAGTTCCTTTTCTCACCTTTAGCCTATTCATACAACATATTCCACATGGTTGTAGGCCCTTATAAACTCTAGATACTAGTAGTTGAGGGTTGAGGTGCATTCTTGTTGCTTGTTTAAAAAGTAGTGCATCATTGAGGTATGAGCAACCTCGAATCCCCAGGCCTCCCATGCTCTTAGGAAGTTAGGTTATACCTCTACTTACCCAATGTAACCCTTCCCCCCCCCCCTTACTTGCCCACCAGAAACGGGTAATCAGGCCATCAATCTTGTTCGCAATACTTTGAGGGAGTTTAAGACATTTCATGACATGAGCAGACATACTTACCAGCACTATGTTGACGAGAATCAACTTTGCCGGTTGAGAAAGTTTAAGGGAGGCCCATGTCATAACTTTTTCCGAAACTTTATCCACTAAAAAGTTGAAATACGTGCTCTTCTTCCCCTAAATGTCAATCGGAGCCCCCAGATGAGATCCCATGTTGTTGGTGTCCGGCATTGCTAGAATTTGTTTTACTGTCAACTTCATATTACTATCAACCTCCAGAGAGAATTTGACAACAGATTTTTGGAGGTTCAGTTGTTGGCCCGAGGCTTTGCCAAACCTATGTAGAATATCCGAGATACACTCACAAGAATCCTTGTTTTCCTTGAAGAACAACATAGCATCGTCTGCAAAGAACAGATGAGAGATCGATGGTAACCTCCTTGAAACCCTTAACCCTTGTATTTGTTTGATGTCCTCTGCCAAGATTAAAATATTTGACAGAATGTCCATACAGATGATAAATAGATAAGGGGAAAGAGGATCCCCTTGTCTCAATCCACACTTTGGGGCAAAATGATCAGATGATTATCTGTTTATAATTGCTTTAAAAATAACCGTTGAGATGCACTGAGAGACCATCCTTATACAGTGATTGGAGAACCCTTGAACCTTTAAGACTTTCAGAAGAAAGAGCCAGTCCACCCTATCATATGCCTTGGACATATCAATTTTGGTTGCTGTAAAATTAGACCCCTTCCTTGAATTTATAAGAGGCATCAGTTCATGGCTCAGGAGGATGTTGTCCTCCATATACCTTCCCGGGATGAAAGCACGCTGATTTTCCATGATTAGGCTTGGAAGGACATACTTTAGTCTATTCACCAGGCACTTTGATATGCATTTGTACACCGTGTTGCAGAGACTAATGGGTCTGAAATGGCTAGCCAGTTCCGGCACCTTCACCTTCGGTATTAAGACTAGGAGGGACTGGTTCCATTCCTTTAGCATGTTTCAAGTCCTTAGAAATTGCCTGACACTTTCAGTAACCAAATTCCCTACTTTCTCCCAATATTTCTTGAAAAACTCAACTGTAAAACCATCCGGCCTTAGGGACTTAGAACCATTCATCTTGAACATCGCTTGTCTGATTTCCTCATTCGAAAAATCCCTATCCAACCAAGACCTATCTTCAGTCGAGAGTTTAGGGATATCCAGTTGCCGGAGTAATAGATCTATATCTTCCCCATGGCTCTCTGATATTACCGGGTTGTAGATCCCCTTGATTGAGTTTAAGATTACCTCTTCGACCCCTCGATGCCCCTCCACCCATGTTTTATCATTCCGAAGAGTTAAAATTTCATTTTGTAACTGCCTTTGTTTCACTTTCCTGTACATTGTAGGCGTAGGGCAGTCCCCCACACCTAATCCACTTTTCCTTCATCTGTTGATCCCAGTAACTGAAATCCAACTGGTTGTTTGGAATAAGACTATTGATGTGATGGATATACCCTTCCCCTTCCTGAATCGTACTGATATCCATTCCCGAGCTCCGCAGGTCTTTAGACAGTTTTCTCCAATTTATCCCCCAAACCTTCTTGTTCTCCAAACACCAAGCTTGCAGCCTGGTCCTGACCCTCTCAAGTTTCCTTGCCAGTTGGAACATGGAGGACCCCAAGCCTTCCTCCTCCCATGTAGTTCCCACTATATCATTGACTTCCTGGAAAACAAAACACCAATGTTCTATCTGATATGGCCTATTAGAAGTTGTGGACCTAGGCCTATCCATATAAGAGATTGCTGCATGGTCAGAGCACACAATTGGCTCATGTATAATCCTCCCATCCGGGGAGTGTTCGAACCATTCCTCTGTGATATACGCCCGATCCAGCCTTTCTAGAATCAGATCTTCCTCCTCTCTTATGTTGCTCCACGTGAACCTTGGACCCGAGAAGGGGACTTCTAACACATTGCTACTGAATCTCCAATCTAGGAAGGCCTCAATTCCTCTTATTCGACTTGACCCTCCTAGTTTATCACTCCCACTCTCCACTTGATTAAAATCTCCAATTACCAGAACATTCTTAAATTCTTCTAAAAACCATTGTAATTGCTCCCATACTATCTTTCTATTTTCTACTTGAGGCTCACCATAAAAGAACAAAATGTACTTTATACTACCATTAGATTCATGAGTCTTACATAGGATCATATTTTTTTAGGAGTACAGACAATCAACTACAACATTTGACCAACATAAAACTAAAAGACCCCCTCTACTACCATCCGAATCCCATCCAAAAGTGGTAGTAGGACCTAGACAACTTAACCGAGAAGCCGCTGAAACATAATCCATCTTAGTTTCTGAAACAAATAAAAACATAGGTAACTTAGTACGATAGAGCCACACTAAGTAAGGTACTGCAAGGGTGTGTGGATCATTTAAACCCCTGGAATTCCAGGCCACGATATTCATAAACCCGTCGGGGTCTGAATAGGAGCAGCCACCTCACCCTCCGTAGTAATTCTGATCGAGTCGAAGATGGACACCTGTAGGTCGATGTCCATGTCATATTTCACCTCCCTGTAAACCGAAGTCACTTCTTCACTTTTCTGTCTTTTTGGAGACCCAAACAAAGAGGATTGAACACCTTGGGATCTCTTGTTCTTGCCCCGCATTCGAAGATCACCATCTAAATCCACCCCGAATTCTTTTGCCATGTCAGGATCGGAGATGGCCTTTGAAGCAAACCTACATCTTCCATTCTCATCCTTTAACCAGATTGTAAAACCTCCCTTTTTCGGACCATCTATGTAGCCTTTTGAGCCTCTTCCTTTCAACCCACTCATAGTCTGTTTCGCTAAATCGGACCGAGTCCCCTTCGTAAGAGTGAGGGTAGTGCCCTACTGCCTCCCTTATTCTTTTCCTGGTATTGGCACTGTCATCATAGTTAAATAATTCCGTAAAATTAAAAGAACTTAAATGCGATACCAGAGTAGTAGGCGGATACAATTCTGTTAGAGGCATATTCGGCAATCCTCCTAAGTTACTTGAAGATAGCCGAAGAAAGGGTGTCGGAGGAGCCCTTATAGTACGGTGTATCGCCTGTATTTCCGATCTCCTGACCCTTCGAATACCCAAGGACAATATTGTGCTTGCCTCGATAATTTGCGCATATTCATCATCTACTTGCTGTTCGAACTCCTCCAATATTCTAGTAGTCATTATTGAAGGACTTTCCAGCCATCCATGTGCCTGATTAGTAACTGGAGCTACCAGATCCGAGCCCCGAGTCTCTTCAATTCCTTGTAGTGTCTCTTCCTGTCTATCAAACACTGCTGGAGTAGAAGCCCACTCTGATATCCCAAGCGTATGAAATAGAGTTCCAGGCCCTCCCCTTTCACGGTGCTCATGCCTTGTCGAGGAAGGCTCTCCTACTTCAAAGATCGAGTCCTTGAAGAGTTGTCTGGCCAGAGGTTGAGGAGTGTGTGCTCCTTGCATTTCCAAATTCCTAGCCTCCCCTTGCCTACTCACTTCCCCAAGCTGGTTTTACACAGGAGCTTGGGCAGCCTCACATTGTGGCCTCTCGCCTTCCTCTCACCTAACACACTCATTGTTTCCCCCTTCATTGTTGAAAGCTGCAACATGTTGCATAATTTCTGCATAAGGGTCGCCATTCAGGCCCAAACGCCTTCCTGGCGAAAGAGAAAGATCTGGTCTCAGCTGTTCCACCTCCCGTTCCACCAATTCCGAACCCTTATTCGACCAAGCTTCCTTACCCGAGTGAAACTGATCACTCTCATCACTTTCTTGACTTGATAACGAGTCTTCATACGAATTCCCTTCTTCGAACCCTATATCTTCTCTCGGACCTCTCTCATACATCGGAAAGCCTTCTGAATTTTCGTAAGGCCGAAGATCCAAGCCCGTATTACGATACCTGTACCAATCCGGGAGACCCCGAATAAGGTTGGAATAGAAAGGATACTCGGTTGGTCCATATAGCACCCGTAGACCATCCTCTTCCACCTCACTTAGCTACGCCTTACTCTCCTTCTTGCCACCGACGCATGGAGAGAACACCTTGAAGTAGCATGTCCTGCATAGCCACACAACTTACAAAATTTGTAGATACCTTCATATCGAAGATAAACCCAGATTACTTTGTTTCCTTCCAAGGATATGAAGCACCCTGGAATAAGAGGTATAGATAGATCAATTAGGACTCGGGCCCTAAGCTCTGCATGTATGGGAAGCTCTTCCCCTTCATTCTCCACCTCTTCAATGTATCCTACGTGTCGTAGGATCTGTCTAGCCCAACTCGCTGTTAAGTATGCAAGCGGCAAACCAAAAATTCTTACCCATACCCTAGCTAGGGTGAAGTTCATGTATTGAGGTACAAAGTCGACTTGATACCTCCTCAGATTTATGATCCGTCCGTCTATGATTGTAGTGCTTGCAAGGATGAGGCCCTCTAGATCCTGCCCATCAAAGCACTCAAACAGAATATATGGGCTTGATCTGTGAACCTTTATCACCCCCTTCCTTATCCAACGCAATGTTACAATGTGTTGAACATAGTGTTCAGAAGGGGGATGCGGTCCAATGAATAAACCAATCACACACGAGTTAAAATTTATAGAGCCATTTGCCAGATCAAAGTTTCCTGGTGGGGGGATAAGGGGTCCCCCACGCATATTCCTAGCCTGCTGCTCATCATGAGGGTTTGGAG